TGTTTTGTAACTTAACTACATATTTAATTATGCCTTTTTAGCTAGAAAAAAAAATGAAAGTAAATTTTCTCAGTGATTTTACATCTCCTCAAGATACTTAAGAAACAGATGCTCAAAACATTCGATCAAAAGGCTGGCACTGTGCAAATAACAAAGACAGAGAATAAAAGAACAATTAGCACATTTATCTTCTACACTTTGAGAAGATGAAGACTAAGAGCAGTTAGGTAAAACTAGGACCTACATTTAGGAGTAGATTTAAGTTCACTGCTTAACTGACACCCTGATGCAGCACAGACTTCATGTTGAGCCTTTGCAGAGAAACAAATGTCATTTTAAATGCAGTGTTTTAGAAAGATGGGACAGTGACAACTATCTGAGGTGAAATCCTCTACCTGGTCAATGGCAAGGAGAGTTCAGCCTAAAAAGGAGGTATTTAAATTTTTTGGTGTTAAAATATGGAAGTCTCAGTAAGCTTCCCTGTTTTTCAAGTCCTTGGTCTGAAGATGTGGTTTGTGCATGGGAAAATTAAAAAGCTCTAATCACTTGCTGTGTTTAGGTATTATCTCAAGTATTTTGGAAGTGTTCCTACAGACCTAACTTTGGAAAAGGCATGTATCTGTCAGGGAGATTTTTCAGGTTCCTGAAAGTCATGTTAGCTATGTTTACAATCTTTGTGATAAAATAGATACTTCAGTTTATTAAACATGAGCTATATCAAGCATTTCATCACTAATGCCAGCATTTATCCTCATGGTTTGCTCTTTATCCTTCTATCTGAAATATTGTCATGATTATTTTTTTGCACATAGTCACCACTGAGATGATGGATGTGCACATTTGGCCAGAAAAATTGGATTCCTCTAATCTGAACTTCACAAGTCTACAGGGCAGCAATTTATGTGGCAAACTCAGTCCAGACTCCCTTTGTGGTCAATGGGTAGATTTAGGATGTGATAAGAACTTCCTTAGGGGTAGGTGATTTGTCCTTGTGTGTAAGTGCTTCTTACTCTTCACAGGCACTGAAGGGAATGTAAATGTGGATTTAATTTAACTGAAATCAGATGTCATCATTGCAGATGTCTCATAGCATGAAGCTGGTCAATATATACATAAATAGATGCATTCAGTACATACCCATGTGGTTTACAACAGGAGTCACCTCTTCTTAAAGAGACACCTATAGCAGGCAAGAACTAGGCCTTAAAAGTGCATTTTTCTCCACACTGAATTTAGAGACATTATTTTAATAATTTAATGATCAATACCTACATTAATGTATGTCCCAACCTTGGTGAGATGAGTGTTGCTTTACATGACTACAGGCCTTGACATCTTCATTACAAAAGTTTATATTTGAGCCAAGTATTTCACTTAAGATTCAGTTTTTAAACTGAACAGCTCTCTGACTTAAAACAGGCAGGACTAAGTAGCAAAACAACTACATAATCTTTCTTCAAATTCTGTGGTTTGGAGATTCTCTTACTTCTTTGGGCAGTCTGTGATCTTTTGCCTCAAAGAACTTGGGTGGTGAGAATTTCTGAGATCAGGGGCAGCAAACTCTTTGCCAGAGTAAAAATTACTCTTAGCTTAAGAGCACTCAGTGTCATCTCAGACCTTTTGTGGGCTACAGTGGCTTTTTTGAGCTACACAACTTTGCAGTGAGTCCAACAGAAGCAGCTGCAGAAGTGGCACGAGACACATCCTCAGTGCAATGGAGATACCTGGAACTGATGGGAGAGTAACCTCTAAACTGCCATCTTCACCTCTGTCTCAGAGACAGAAAATAGAATGATAATCCCAGATTTCCTTACTCTATTCCTCCTGGAGCTCAGGTCCCCTGAGGACACATGTTTTTGATGGTCTCCATTCATTTCAAATGGCACCATCACACATCCAGCTCAGCAGTTCTTGCACTGGCATCTGCAGTTTCTGAGTCTGGAGAAATATCTTCATTACATCCCTTTCACCAGAGGTGGAAGAACCTATTTAGACCATTTAGAACCCGTAGGTCCTTGTTCCCTGTTGCACAGTTGATCATAATATTGTTTTTTAATCTGATGTGCAATTATTATGTTTAATCAAGCATTAATTAGTCTTCTAGAAACCTGTTTTAAAATGTGGAATAGAAACACGCTGAAATATTCAGTAGAAATAACTGGAAATTCTACTCAGCAACACAATGTGATCTGTATTTTAATTTCAAATTCATGCCCAGTTTTGTCTTTTGTACTATCCATAGACATATTATTGCTTTCAATAAGTGTGGATGCACAATGGAAAACTAAAAACATGGTTCCTTCAAATACTGGTCAAAGTTAGGAAATCTTTCTACTTTCTTTTCCTATTAGTATCAAGAGATTTTTTCATAATTCAATAGAGGAGTGAGGAAAAACAGAGGACACCAATATCTGCATGTGTTTGTACCAACACTTTATGGAAAGGGCACATTCATAGCCAAACTATAGGAGAAAACCTTGTGTTAAAACTGATTTTAAGCACAATAACAGCTGAAAAATAGAATGTCAGGCTCAACAAGAATTTAAATGCAACTTGCTTTTTTTTAAAATAACTTTAAGACTTTTCTCTACCTGATGGAATGTAAACAAGGCTTCCACTAGACCTTCTGGAGAACATTGTCTTCTAAACAGTTTAATCCTAACTGAGTGATTATTGTCCTCAGAACTTTCAGATCCATCCCACAAGTTTCTTGCCTCTCTGAAAAAATGTGGAAAGAAAAGAGGATAAATATCTTTGGCTCTTACACTCCTGAGAATTCCACTGTCTCCTTTAACATTTTCATTCCCCATAAACTTATATGTTTCACAGAAATTACTTCATCTTTTTTCTTCCTAATCTTGAAAAAAAAAGAATCAATGCATCATCATCTTTACAGTCATCAGTATCTCTCAATTTTTTCCCATTATTGAAATCTACTTTTCCTCTTCATTCATCTTAATAATCTATAAACTCCAGAATGTGTTACTTCTTAGTTTTAATGTATTTGCTTCATGACTTTCATGACAGTACTGAAGACAGCATTTCAAATAATTTGATTATGGCATTATACTTCAAGATCCTACAAACTAATTGTGTGATTAATCAGGTGTAATTAGTGCCACAAAACTGACAATAGAAAAAGACTTCCTCTGCATCTTTCCCAAAATTAATCTCCCATGAGTGCAGTGAGGTAGAACACACTAATAGACAATTCTGTTCTGACTTTTAGATCAAAACAACATTTATGCTTTTGTTATTGTTAGCATTAATTCTGGATATAAAGGATAACAGATTTTGAGAGATGATACTTCTTTGTCAAGTTTACTACCTTTAATTTGATTTTCTTTTAATTCCACGGTTAGTTTAAAGCACGTTCTTTACATCTTTTTAGGTTTATAGGGATAACATTGTTCTATACACTTCTCCTCAGTGTTTCTTTTCATTTTCATGGACCATAGTACAGGTCCATAGAGAAAAAGGACTAGAAGGGACCCCAAAAGCTCTTTTAGTCCATTACACTGACTCACTCCTGTATAGATTAATTTTTCTAGAGATCACCAAAGCTGAACACTCTGTATGATCATCAACCTATTCCAAGGCTGTTCTTCTCTTTTTTAAAAAACTTTTGGCCAGTGTCTAACTTGATAACTCACAAGAACTGTGTTCTCTGGTTTTTGGGGCCTTTCCCCAAGCCTTGAGGTTTGGTGTCCATCAGAATCATGACTCAGGTGTGTTCAGTGCAGTCTCAAGGCAAGAGTTGGGATGTGTTTATCCCTGTTAGTGCCCAAAGTCTGACTGAGAGACACCAGCAATGCACTGAATGTCCCATTTACAGGTGTTGGGGACAATATCATATGTTCAGAGTTCTTGGAGATATATTAATTAATTTTCACTTTCAGTAAGTCCAACACATCATTTTGGGTTATCTCTGAGCTGGAATTAGCAAATTCCAATGTGTCCCTACAGATAAAAGCAGAGCAAACATTTGAATTTTAAGAAGTATTCAGCTCTTAGAAACATCTTCACAGCTTTTTGCCTTCCTTTGTCCTCCATCTGCCTTCTTAACTTACTTGATTGTAATCAATGATATTCTTCCCCTCTGAAAATGTCCTGGAGGTTACTTCAGGTCACTTTGTTTTAAAAAAACCCTACATTTCCTTATTTTTAAATCAACATTTACTTTCTCTTTGATCTTTTTTTTTGCTGCTCAATCAGCAAATGGCACTGACCAAAACATGCACAAGTCTTGGCTGACCCCTTATTTTTGGGGAATTTCACCAGTTAAATGCTTGCATACATTTATTTCTAGCCCTTTTATTTCTTATGTACTGAACCTGATTTCCCTCTGAAACCTCTTTATCCTGAAACAGTAGAAATTAGTTAAACAGTGGAACTGCACTTAGCTTTCCAACAGTACAAATGAGACCAAAATCAAGACCTTGAGGAATAATCATGAGTATAAGAACAAGAACATACAGGATTTTGAGCTTTATTTGTGTGGCTGTTGGTTTTTTGGCTTTATTTGTATGGTTGTTTTGGAATTCTTTTGCTATGCAGAAAAAAATTCACACACACACACTCACACACATAAAATATAAAAAAAAAAAAAGTGGTTTCAAACACTCCATTGGGATTAAGGTTTACAGTTGTGCTATGGTAGCAGTCTGAATCCTTTAGCAAGATTCTCCTCTTCATTTTTGGGCACAATAGGAAGAAATTACTGCTTATAACAATGAAAATTAAAATAAGAGAACAGAGCATTAATCACTGTTAATGTGCTGTTATTGTAGCAGCATGAAAGAAGTGGGAGCAAACTGCAGTGTGTGTGAAATCACTCTTTGGGAACAAACAGGAATGTTCTGTATTTGTGTGTATATTTATGCAGTGTATGTATTTTCCCAGAAGTCAGTCAGCAAAACGTTTTATGCTTTCTTCTTTAATTAAAGCACAAGGTGATTATTGCAAGGCTGCATTAAAGTTCTCTCCCTCTGTTGTCACAGGAGGCTGGCTCGCTCCACGCTGCTGCTCATCCCCCTGTTTGGAATTCACTACACAGTGTTTGCTTTTTCTCCTGAAAATGTCAGTAAGAGGGAGAGACTGGTGTTTGAGTTGGGACTGGGATCCTTCCAGGTGATTATCCAGTGATTTCTGGTTTTGTTAGAATGAAATCTCTATTTTATTTTGTTTTTTAGATACTTTGCATGCACAGTTCTCAGAGTGTGTCCTTGTTCCCTCATGTGGATGGTTTGTGTACTAGGATTTTGGGTTAGATTGGTTGATTGCCTGTTCTAACTCCTGCTATTTTGTGTTATTCCTTCAGGATTAAAATTACATTACATTAACTTTTTTCATACATTACATTACTTTTTGCATAAATTACACTATTTTTTTTCTCTCCCGCTCTTCCAGGGTTTTGTTGTTGCTGTTCTCTACTGTTTCTTGAATGGGGAGGTAAGTCTTTCAATATTTAAATTCCTCACCCATCTTCCTCATTTCATTTCCTTGTGGGAGTAACTGCTGTCCTAAACCTTCCCTCTAACTCATCACCTGCCATTCTCCCTGATACCTTAGGCTGAATCTCACAATTCTCAACAAAAAAAAAAAAAAAAAAAAAAAAAAAGAAAGAATATGTAGTGTCCTTATTAAACCAGAATGTTGGCCATGCCAGAGATGATGGCCCAGATTAACACTCCCTAACTGGGCTAGGCCTGTAGTGGTCTCCTTGGCAATGTCACCCCAGGTTCAGAATTTGGCACTGGTTTTGTGGAATTTGGCACTTGTCTCGTTAAACTTGGCGCTGTTCTTGCCAGCCCACTCTTCCAGCCTGTTCAGTTCTCTCCATAAGGTGACTCTTCCTTCTGACATGTCCAGTCACCACCCAGTTTGGGGTCATCAGGCAAACTGGTGAAGGTGTTTTCAACCCCATTGTTGAGACTGTTATGAAGATATTGAAGCCCTGGCACAGGTTGCCCAGAGAAACTGTGGCTGCCCCATCCCTGGAAGTGCTCACACCCAGGTCAGATGAGCAACCTGGGCTAGTGGAAGGTGACCCTGCCCATGTCAGGGGGTGGAATTGGTTGATCTTTAAGGTCCCTTTCAACCCAAACCATACCATGGTTCTATGTTGAACAGTGTGGGGTCCAGTACCAATCCCTGGAGGACCCCACTAGTGATAGGGTGCCAGCCTGAGTAAAAATCCTTGTCCACCACCCTCTGAGTGTGGCCTCCTTCCCATCTTGCAGGACAACCACCCGCTCCACATCTTGCCAGCTTGCCCAGGAGAAGGCTGGGGGAAACAGCATCAAACCCTTTGCTGAATTCCAAGTTTTCACAAGTCCTTGGCCTTTCTTGCTGGCACCACCCAAGTGTTGTCAGCTTCTTTTCTGAGACCTGCCACCTTCCAGCTGGTCCCTACACACACAGAGCCCAAGCTGTGCCAGAAGCCCCCTCAGACCCTCCCCAGATATCTTGCAAGCCTCACACTCCTCTCAGCACATGGCAGCTGCTGCTGCTGCTGTCAGCTTCCCACACTAGTTATTTTTTTTTTCTGATTCATCTGTTCTGATCTGCAGATTGAGATTCCTCTGCCTTTGTTTATCCAACTGAATACCTGAGGTTATTTTTTTCTCAATTAACAAAAAAAGGTTCCCTCCTCAAGGCTGCCTTAAGAGAGATATCTGGAGTTCATCCATTTTCTCCACCACTGATACACATCTCTTGTGCAGTCCAACAGGAACCTTTCTCTAAAATCCCTAGAATCACCTTCTTTTCTTCTTTCCAAGGAGTCTGAGTGCAGTAGGTGTTCTGTGCTTGCTCATCTCTAGCCTGCAACAGCTCATTTCTAGTACAAAAGGTCTCAAACTCCTTGATCCAAGTGACTCCTCAGATAACAACCTCCAAGCTCATCAAACAAACTCATAGGTCACCTTTGCTTAGTCAGGGTGACTTTGAAAGGCCCCACAGGGCTGTGAAAGCATTATTCATAGCTCAGTCAGTCCCAAGTAGCTCTGGAGGGTGAGATCTGGATCAAGCCTTGTTGGAATTAATGGTTGTACTCAGACTTCACCACCTGGTGTTGTTGGATATCTAAATCTCCCACCTACAAGTGTTGTTGCATCCATTACCTTCCCTGAGTGCTAAAAGAACAGCCAAAAGGTCTTTTCTAAAACCAGCCTGGAGATAAACACCTTCCAAGATAACAAGCACAGTCTGTCAGATTTCTTGGAACCCCTCAGAAGGAGTAGGAGGGTTGTTGTTGGCCAAACCAACACAATTAGATTGATTAAAACCATTTTACCTCTCAAGACATTGGAGAATGGTAATTAAAAAGTGTCTTGTCCCTCATTAAATTTCTTAGGGCAAGAAAGGATTCACCTTTGGTATAATAATTACACTGTTCAAGGTGCAAACACTATTTTCTATTTTATAGGGGTGATATAACTCCATACTCCATCTAATCTATAATTTATACATTAACCAAAACAGGAATTTAGAGGTACTAGAAGGAGAATGTAAGTTTTCCCGTTGGATTTTTCCTCCCTGTAGTTTTTTGCCCATACAGTTAAAGCACTTGTTTAGCATTTTGGCTTATGATGATCCATTTTGACACTTCTTTTAGTCCAAGAAAAATCTAGTAATGACTGTTAGAGCCAAGGAGAACAGCTTTGTCACAGCAGCTCATTGAAGACAGGAAAAATATATTGGGAAAATCTCTCTACATATTTCCTCGTTCTTGCATTATTTCATTCAGAAATGTGCTACAGGCTCCTACCAGGAGTAAGCAACAGACCAAGTAAATGTTGGTCTAAGCTCATATGATCTTTATTATGTTGAATTTTACCTATATATACTCACATGCTCACCCAGCAGGATTGCCAGGAAGTTGGTGATGAATGAAAAGTGCAAAAGCTATGGAATTATTTGCTTCTTCCCTAACTGAGCTTCTAACCACGGATTGTTTTGCTCTTGGTGATTTACTGTAAATCACCAAGATTTACATATAATACTCTCAAGTATTATATAAATATTTGGGAGTATAAAATACTCTCAAGAAAAGGAAGGTGTCACAGATGTCTGTAAATCCCAGAGCTGGTGTGTGCTTTGAGGGGATCTGAAAGCAGGAGGCCAAGTTTTCCATGGACATCCATCCATGAATGGCAGGCACAAGACAGGCTGCCCACATGGACAGGTTGTTTCCCTACTGTCCAGTACCTTTTGTTTGCTGGTTTCTTTGGCTCCTTTTTATGTCTTTGATGAAAACAGGGTATTTTTTTCCTTCATGTTGGAGTTAGTGTTGAACAGGTCTTTGTTCTTGATACCTCTGGGCTGATCCTAAATTTTCTGAAGCCAGAGACACAGAACCTGGGCTGTAATTCCCACTACAAGGCTGGACCTCTTTCAGCTGTGGAGAAACCACTTCAGATTTTGCTGAAGCGAGGAGTTTAACAACAGCCTTAAAAATAGTTCTGTGGAATTGTGGGCTTTTTGCTGATCTTGATAATTTATCAGCATGTCCTCGAGCGGCGAAGTACATAAAAAATGACCTTTTGAAGTTTCTCCCTAAAGGTGCAATCAGAAATAAAGAGAAAATGGAGGAGCTGGAAAGTCAACCGGTATTTTGCTGTGGATTTCAAACACCGCCATCCTTCTCTAGCGAGCAGCGGAGTGAACGGGGGGACACAACTGTCCATTCTGAGCAAGAGCAGCTCTCAGATTCGGATGTCCAGCATAAATGCGGAGAACCTGGCCACATGAGCAGCTGAGGGAGCAAATCCATCGGGAGCAAACCAAAAACCGCCCCTCGAAACAGAAAAAAAAAATGAAACAATAGTTTTGGTTGTGGTGGTGTAGGTCTCTCCTCCTTCTCCTTCTCCTTCTCCTTCTCCTTCTCCTTCTCCTTCTCCTTCTCCTTCTCCTTCTCCTTCTCCT